TACAGCAGAATAAAAGCTGTTTCCCCTAGCCCAAAATAAGTATATTTTGCCCTAAAAATGTTAATAATATTTTCCCCTTAAATGCCCTGTGCTCCCCTTAAATGCCCTGTGCACTTTTGTACCAGAACCATGACTTAACAGCATCTCACTTATATCTGACAGCTGTCCCTATAGATAGCTTGGCAGCATTATATCAATATCATGTCCCTATAAATAGCTTCTGCTATGTACCATGCATGTTAAATTGAATTGAAATTGAAAATTTAATCAAATGTGTGGGTAAATTCCATTCCTTCAGTTGTCAGATTTCCCTGTTTTCTGGTTTATCACACTATATTTTCCCCTTCAGAAAGCCACAGGTTGTTTTTAAAATTGGAAAAAATCACTGTAATACATTGACAGTTTTGTTTTCATGGCTTCAAAGATATTTGTATCAAATAAGAAAGTTACAGCACAGGAATCTGATTATAATAACCATATGCAAGCAGCAATTATTATTTTAACCATTTTGCAATGGTGGTTATTTTTGCTCAGTTCCCTTACTGACAACTAAAATGGCAGGTTTAGACAGTACATGTGTAAAGGCTGGTATGCACAGTAATTCAGGTGCTCTCAATATTAAATGAAAGCTAAATAAATTTTAGATTACTGTAAAGTAATATCTACTTTTAAAAGCCCAAAACTACAAATGAAGCTTTGCGAAAAAATCTACAATGTAATATTCAGTTCAATTTAAACATGAAAACCACAAATGTTTATGTCCTTTTCCTTCAGTTAATTTAACTAAGACCAGTCATACTAAAGCAATTGTTCATCATTTATTTTATTCCCTTGTGTCACAGATCTTAATTTAATCAAATACCAAATGAAATAACATCAATTACTTAAATTTGCAATAGAGAATAACATACTATTGTCTTTTTGATATCAATTTATCAGACAAAGCTGATATGAGCTTGTTTATGTTATATATGATAAATTAAAAGCAGACATAACAGCTGAATTAAAAGCAGATACATTAACAGAAATAAAATGGATAAAATAAGAATCCTTGAAGAAAGCCCAACATGACACAATTGAAAATGTTACAGGCTCAGTTTGATTGAGTCTTTTCATGGACAGTACTGTCAAGTGCAAACCACTGTCCATGCCCCCTAGCACCAGCTTAAGCGGAATTCAACATTTAACATGAACTGCAGTACAATTTTAAAACATCTGCAGATGTGTTAATATGGCGGTCATCATGGAACATTCAATGTGACATGTAAGTGCAATTCCATGAAAAGCGGCATATGGTCCCTTGGTAAAAAAATCTGTGTTCCCTAAACGAGAAAACAATGAGCGGAACTAAATAAAATGGAATTTCGAAAGGGGATCATATAATATGAAATCTACGATTTTAAGGAATTTCTTTTTTGTTTGAGTTTTTATTCTCTAGGGCAGTAAACCATGCAATAAATGATAGTAACCTTTGTCTTAAATGTCAAAATAGAATAAGCTAACATACTGAAGTCCATGATTTAATTTATCTATTACATGTATATGTCATGTGGTCGATATTCGTGTTTTTGAATATCGTTTTTATGTATCATTTTGTCCTTGTATTTGTATATATATCTCTTGTATTTGTCTGTTTACAGTCCGCTATACAATCCATTATCCCATATCATTCCTATATCATTCCATTTCATCATCTTATTATAACAACTACTTTCTCATATTTCATTCTGACATAATTTGCATGCCGGGCCTCAGTTTTTACAAACTTCCCGGAAAATCCACCTCACGCATGCGCACTTTGGTATAAATATTTCTCTTGGTTTGCGCCAGAAATTGTTTATCTTATTTATTTATTTATCAAGGCGTATGTTTTATGTCCTTACAGGTAATTGTTGTTATTCATTATGTTTCATTATCATGCATATTTCCATTGATCGTTTATGTATTTCGGAACTGTATTTATGCACTTTGGTATAAATATTTCTCTTGGTTTGCGCCAGAAATTGTTTATCTTATTTATTTATTTATCAAGGCGTATGTTTTATGTCCTTACAGGCATAAACAGACCATTCATACATCTTGAAAAGGACCATACGACATATATGTAAATTCAAATTGTATTAAAGCATTAAATTAATGATATTGTATTTGTTAAAACATTATTTACCTATTTTATATATGGTATGTATATCTAACTTTTAGTTCTTGTAACTATGAAAAAAAAAGTAAATAATTATAAACAAAATTAAGAGACAAGATAATATTAAACATGGAGGGCTAGATGTATGATGTACATGTATGTATATAGATCTACATGTACCTTGGACTTGATGATGTTTAAAATTAATAAACTTTGGCAATCGTCCAATAACCCCCTTGCTACACGGCTTCTGAATTTGTTACCAAGATGGTTTTTTTCAGAAAAAAGTATCAACTTCCAACAATTTACCAAAAAACAGGCAAAATGTGCACGAAGTGATCAGGGGACGAATAATTTGAGTTATTGACTCCGTCTCGAAATTCAGAAAAATTGTCAAATGTATCGTCAAGAAATCAATTAGGAGTAAAACATTGGTTCTTTAGTTAACATGCTATTACGTATGTTTAATCATATCGGCATAATTTATCGGTAAATTTTTACTAAAATAGTAAAAACTCACCCTACTTTCACTTTATATTTTCGGAAAATTCGAAGCGAATTAGGTAAACAAGAACAACATGCGAATGAAACTGATAATGTTTAAAAACGTCAGTCTCAAACCATGCCACTAGTGTTAAACCCACAATCTTTTTCCTCTGCCTGCTTCATATGATGACTGTCCGAATAATTCCATGATATACAACAAATATCCATGAAAAGGTTTGAAACGTCGCGCATTTCCTGCTCTAGGTCAGCCATCTTGTTTTTGTTACTATTTTTAGCACAGTCAGGGCTCTCCAGTCGGTAATTACAAATAGAAAAACTGATATTAAACGAAATTTTCGCCTTAGGATAAAATTTAAGTTAAGGAATTTCTTGCCTAAGGAATTCACTTAAGGGATTTTTGACTTCAAAGTTAAGGGGAAATTTTACCTTAAGGAGTTTTCTTCAAGATAAGGAAATTTTTCCCTTAAAACTTAAGATCCTTTATGAATACGGCCCCTGGTATCATATATAGATAAAGTGATAACCAAGTCATATATTGTTTCTTTGGTTCCATACATTGATAAATTGGTTTCATATTTGGTAAAATGAATTAATATATTGAAAATTCGTATTCATATCAGGACATCTGGTTCCATATATGGCTACTTTGGTACAATATATTGAAGAATTGGTATCATATAATGTGATAACCAACTTATATAGTTCTACTTTGGTTTCATAAATTGATACATTCGTTTAATATATTGAAAAATGAATTTATATATTGATAATTCGGTTTAATATCAGGACATCTGGTTCCATATATGGCTATTTTGGTACAATATATTGAAGAATTGGTATCATATAATGTGATAATCAACTTATATATTTTTACTTTTGTTTTTGTTTCATAAATTGATAGATTAGTTACATATATTAAAAATGAATTAATATATTGATAATTCGGTTTCATAAAAAGGATATTTGATTCCATACATGGCTACTTTGGTGCCATATATTGAAGAAATCAACTTAAATATTGCTACCTCGGTTTCATACACTGCACTGACGGTATGGTTTGATATATTGTAACTGTGGATTAATATATTGGATTCCGGTTAAATAAGGAGGTGTTTCCAATTCATATATAGTCAAAGTGAACTTATATATTATCCAAATGGTTACATAAATTGAAAAAGAACAATATAAGACAGCCATGGCTTTCCATACGTTCTAGTAGTACTCGTTTTATACTGTGACAGGACTGGAACGTTTAAATCAATATCGTTTTATGCCAGAAGTCCGACACAAATTTTGTCAATTTATATACAGCTACAGTGATAAAGCGTTTGTAATGGTTGATCCTAATGCCTTGGACATTGATTAATTATATCCCAATTAAACAATATGTTAACGTTTTAATTAGAAAACTGTCAACAATAAAATATTAAATTTGAGAATGAACATTGTATATAAGACATAAAAGACACCAGATACGTTACCAAATCTAATCAAAATAAACAAGAACACGTGTGGCCACGCTTTACGATTAATTTTTTTGAAGCCAGAACTATATCCGCAAATCACTTAAAAATGTATAAAACTTAAAAAAATATATACTAGTACATTTATATTTTTAAAACGAACGTGTTCCCTTATATGTAAAACTTTACAAATATATTGATAAATTGAAAAATTCAGATGTTTTATGACATTTTACACTGATGCATATTGTCCTAATACAAAGCAGTTCCCAGGACGAGACAACGTACAAGTTTACGGATGATTTATTTTTAGCCTAGTTTCAAAACTACCCTAAAAACATTAAATAAGACAGTTGCACATGCGATTATTTGTATACGGAGAGAAGAAAACTTTGTCTTTCCTTTTGAAGAAAATGTTATTTTAAAAAATGTTTTGCAACAATGCAAGAACTTTCAAAAAAGGTCCTGTAGTGTAAAGCTGGTGTACACATGTGAATGTTTTTATGTTCTTGTATTTTGTTTGACATATAATATATATATTCAGTTCAATGAAAACAAACCCTTTCCTTTAGCTTACAATGTATTTTGTTTGCTTTATTGTTATTATTATTATTATTATTATATTATTATTATTATTATTATTATTATTATTATTATTATTATTATTTTCATTGACTACTTGTCATTCATACGTCTTATTCAAAATCAGGTAAGACCCAGCTCGGTTTAAAAAAAATCACTTAAGTCCCCTGACGTTACAGTTTTTATCAGAACACTTGCCAAGTAATCGGAAACACTCTTTGTTTTGTTTAAAAGTGCCTTCCCGTGACTATTTTCAACAGAAAAAAATACGTATAAAGGAAAATAATTGAATATTCAATATTGAATACCTGTTTGTTTATATATTCTCTCTTTTACAATATTCCCAGCCATTTTTTTCCATCTTCACCAATACATAGTGTCGTAACGAATGTGTTTGGTTTGCTCCAATGTTAATATTTTCCAAAAATCAGTTACACTTTCTTCATGTATGGTTGTTAAATGCGCAATTTAAAGTGTCTTACGATCTTTATCTACCAATGACCTAAAACAAAATGCAATATTTGTTCTCAGATATCACATGCTTAAATCTTCGATACAACTGCTGATAAATACTTATCAGAGTGCACCTAAGTGGTATTGTATATTATTGTATATGACTGATATGGTACATGTGATTTACGCAGTTGGCTTACACAAATTAATTTGCTTATCAATAGGATATCTTTTAAAAGACTCTTATGAATCTGAAGAGTTTCACATATTTACAATTATATCAAACACATGAATCACGTAAAGAAAACACTTGTCATATTGCATTACATTGTGACTCAAATTGACTCACCCTCGTTCTTTAAACGGCTTAACCCTCACTGCCGTTAGTTCGAAGCCCACCAGAGACTTCAGTTTTTTTAATGTGGGGAGTATTAATTCAGACACGACGGGCACCTACATTGATATGTCATGTTTTTCCGGGTATCATTACTTTCCATATACTCATGTCGCAGTCCAAAAGATAAGGGGTTTCTGATGGACGCTGTAGGTTAAAGTACTTGGGACCTGGACAGAGGGTCTGTAAATACACAAATTATGCGCTTTCAAATAATTTTATTAGCAGTAAAGAATCGCGGCTCTCGCCATCAAAATCTTTGAAAATAGTGCGCATTCGTAGTGTAGTGAATCAATGAAATAGAAAGTTACATAGAGAGGCCCGTAATGGTGGTTAGTATATGATCAATATGGGGATGAATGAAAAGTATGATGAACATTAAAGCTATAGGATATTTAATAGGACAAACAATAACACATATAAACATGTACGTATATGAACCTGTGACATCCTTCCCCTCACAGGAAAAATGTCGTCCCGACATTTCAAACACACAACTGCGTACTAAGCAGCTGTATCCATGGCACTACTTCAGAAGTACTATAGAAACTATATCTGT